GTGTGTGTGTGTGTGTGTGTGTGTGTTGATACAGCAATCGGATGCGCTACCAAAGCCCACCATAAAATAACACGGTGAAAGGATCTAAGTTAATAAACATATCTTGGTTATGAGACTAACATGCGATACACGCCGGAGAAATCAAATGAAAAAATGGGACCGGGTGGCGTGCATTCCATTCCATCACCGAAGTCCTACTTGGCAACATCAAAAAGCTCACGCCCAATATTTCAATTCTTCCGTACCGCCTGCAATGTTGTATGGCTGGGAGGAAGAATGGTCACTCACTAAAGCCAAAGAGCGGCAATTATCTGCCACCGAGAGTCACGGAAAGAAGAATGTTGGTAAATTCACAACGCGATAACACACTCAACACGGCGATCAGACAAGAGACGGGAATGAACGAAGCTGTCATCGAAAGCAGAACAAGTTACAGTAGGCCAAGGACGTCGCTCGGCTCAAAGAAGGGAGATAGTCGAGGATGATCGTCAACTGGTATCCACACGGGTGGACTAGGCCACTTGGTCACCCACCACGATGGTGGAAGATGAGACCAGAAGTCGGGAAGGCTGTACTTTGAGGGAGAAAGCCCGAAACTGCGAGGAATGACGGACTCGTTGGGGACAGTGCGATTCGCCGCCGATTACTAGCCGTGACAGATGGTCGAAGGGATGAGTTTGCCTTCCGATTTTAATAAACCTCTCAATAGGTGCTGATGATGATTACGTTCGTAAAGCGAGCCATAATCCATTTAGGGAATGGTCTTGTTTCACGTAGAAATGACTGAGCTAATGTCAAGGCTAAAAAATGATCTTGCTTGATATTCAGCAGTGGTAATGATTTATTAAAAGAAAAGAAGATAGTATAATAACTGTTTAAAAATGCTCGTTTAAACTGAAATCTTTGCGAAGACACCTCCTCCTGATACCCAAGTAAACGAACTCACCCCAAAGCCGTGGCCTGCTTAGACAATTAGGAGCAAACGAGAGAGAGAGGGAAGGGTTGCACAACATTAAGTGGAATCAGTTCTTGGAGTTAACATACTGCTTGGTACAAAAACATTTCATCCTTATGCAATAACATATAAAGAGTACCAGTTTCTGAAATATCGTTTGTGACAAGCGTAACATGGCAGTAGTGGATAAAATGATGCGAAATCCACATGTTCCCGCAGGTACTTAAATATCATGAAGACGTCACCTGCTTAAGTGACCCCCCCCTACCCAAGCAAAGGTAGCATACGCCGAGAAATCTGTTACTGGAGAAGATACGATCCATTAAAACGTATTCAAATATGAACTTCATCTTTAATATGCAGCTGTGTTGTATTAATACCGCAAATCAGTTAAACTGTTAGGCTTTACCTTATTAAATTGGAAAGAATGCATGACAACTACAAACAAACACAACTTTGTGTGCATCTCAACGGCCTTTACCTGGTTCCAGCGTATGTTGAACATAAGCCATATGAATGATCGTTTTTAATTTAAATTGGGAATCGTTACTTCAACCTGCTCACAGACAAGAGACTTCAACAAAGGTTCTGCAACCTAAAATTAAATAAAGACAGGACATTTACATGTTCCATTATGATTACATGTACTTCACTCATTAGAATTTGTTTCCTCACGTTATGAGTAAAGAGTCTTTGCCAGTGGCTAATCGTCATTGCTTTCAGAGGTTCAGAAACGAGCCACGCTTTTCATGTAGGGACAGAGATTTCGACGTTTAATTATGCAGAACTATATAACCAAAATCAACTCACAAAGCAAAATTCTAAACGCAATGTTAGAAAAAGAAACCTTGCATTAATAAATGTAGTGGCGATATGTGATGCCTCATTCCCATTTTTTGCAGTTCCTGAATTCTATTCCTCCTTACTAATTTAGTTAATTGGTAGCGAACTATAAATCTCAAATAATTAATTAGCGGCTGACTACCCAAGACTAGATTTAACGACGCACTGCATCGCTTCCTGCTCCTAGATGCCTAGGCTGGGAGGGGGAAGGGTTAAACACGCTACATCTCCATGGTATTTGAACACTTGTCGTACCAGATGTATCTCGAGTCATTCTGTTCGTTAGAGCCACTTCGCGCTCATTAAAAAGGATGTTTCAGAAGCTGGTACACCTATTATGCTACAGCATAAACATCAATATATGTTTGTACTCCAAAATATGTCAGAGCGCATGATTCCCACAAAGACAGACAAAATAATTAGTAAATAAACAATATAGTTTCAAATGAACAATACGTAGTCGAGACAAAGAACGTATTCACTATACTCAGACTGAAAAACAGAATGGAATACTGCTTACGAATAACGAACGCAAAAATTAATACGGTATGCCACATGATTGACCATATTTCTTGCTTCCTGTATTAACGAACTGTTTTTGCTGCATTTTCAGTATGATCACCAACGCAAAAGCCAAATACTCTATATTTGTAGAGCAGTCATCCAGGCTTCCCGTACACTTCACTGCTGCTCAAGCAGCAGGTTTCGTCTTTACGGCCTTACAAGAACAAACAATGCAATGACTATATTATTTCTTTTGACACTGCTA